TTTCTGCGCCGCGCGTGCGCACTTCCCGATCATCCTCACCAGCGTCATCGCATCACCGCCGTTCTCGTCACGTCAATCGCCACCATTGCCCCCATCTTCATCACAATCACCGTCATCACCGAAACATGGACATCATCATCATCATCGTCATCGTCGTCACCAACATCGGCGCAGTCGTCATCGCCATCATAGCCAGCGCCAACGTTATTGTCATCGGCGTTGCCGCCGTTGTCGACAAAAACGTATCGTGCCCGCCCGAATCACCGACCCGCACCGAAGTGCCCGCGCGCCAGGGCGGCATTTGAGACGCGCTGGGGAGCTCCCATGGGTAAGTGCCAGCGGGCCGCATCAACTGTGCCAAACCAGCTGGTCGCTCTGCGCACGAGCGTGCTCGCGCCAATGCGGTCGTAGACCGTTGAGATGCGCTGGCAAATTCCAATCGGCAGCCACACTCGTGGCCGAACCGGTCTCGCCAAACGAGTTGCGGGTGGATGGGTGCAGTGTTTGCAAGACCAATGGAGTAGACGACTTTAAGACGGTTGTTAACACTTGCGCTACGTATATTGCACGACATCACGTTTACTACGTAGCTTACACCTCATAGCTTACTACACGTATATAGCACCACGTAGACTGCACACCATAGTATGCACCACGTAGCTTGCGCCACATGGCTTGCACCATACAGCTTACACAACATAGCTTGCACCACACAATTTGCACCACACAGCTTGCACCACGCATGTTGCACCACGTAGATTACACCGCAGACCTTTCGCATAGGTTGCACCCCGTAGCTTGCACCACATGGATGCACCATATAGCTCACACATCCAGTGGAATAACTTACCGTTCGGGGCTTAGGCTGGTTCGTAGATGTGTACATGTATAGCTATACAAGAAATGTGTGATATGTTTAGGTGCTGTAAATGAGAATGGAGGGAGAAGAGAGAGAGAGAGAGAGCGAGAGAGAGAGGGTGGAGCCAGGGAGAGCCAATGGGCAGGACGCGGAAGCACAAACCTACGAGTGAGGCATGGAGGCGGGTGATCTCCCCCCAGGCGGCCACACTCAAAGAACGCCCTTAGTGAAGTGAGAATCTTTTCATCGCCCCCGAAGTCCAGTGCGTCGTTCTGATAGCTTCCCAGTTCTCCCAGCGACGCTCCAGAAACATGGCCGACTAATGTTCGACATCTTGTCCCCGCCTGACTTCGCAACAGGTTGCGACCAGAAAGCTTGAAATCCCACAAGCCCTGGGCGAGCGGCGGATGTTTAGCGGGCCAGCTCCCTTTCTAAGAGGCCTCCTAGATGGGGTCCGAGCAGATAGGGTCGGAGGATCTCGCCGCATCGCCGATGCACCGACGACGCGTTGGCGACGTCGGCGGCGCATCGGCGACGCCTGCGTCGAGAACATCGGGCTCCACATCGAGCCACATCGCCGATGCATCTGCGATGCGGCGCGACCCTCCGACCCCATCTACTCCAGCCCCATCCAGGAGGCCTAGATTTCCTCCCCTTCGGGCAGAAGTTGACGCCCCTCCCTCCCCCTGGGCCCTGGGGTGGCGCGACGGGGTGGAGTGCCCAGGGTGGCCCTAGACGGCCCCAGGTGGCTCCAAGATGGCCACAGATAGCCTCGAAGACGGTGCGGCACAGCCCAAATTGGTTCAGGATTGCCTCTGTCATGCTTCTAATCCATAGGCGTGATTAAACGATGGCCAACATGTGAACGTTTTCTTATTTGGCGTTTCGACATTGAGCGGAAGGGGGGGAAAGGGGGGTCTGGCTCCAGACCTCTGCTTGAAGCGACTGTTTGCAAGCAACCGTGCGTCCTGCGGGGGGGACTCCATCTGCTTGGAACAACACTCCCCAAACAGCCAAGATCTACTCCATAGAGGGGGAAGGGGAGGTTCGAGGGCCTGCGCCGATCGGCAAAACAATGAATAAGAAAACGACGACAATGTTGCGAAACGATGATGTTGTTCTTCTTGTCTCGGCCCAGCACGCGCACCAACTCTGACAAGATTTCCCAAACAATCTGTCCGTTTCGAACCTGTTTCGAACTGCACTCCGAGTCCTGTGTTCGAGACAATTCCGCACGAACGTGCAATTTTCTGCTTGTTTCGACCTGGCTTATACATGTGACGAACCTGGTTCCGAGCCTGATACGCACGTGGTTTTTGCGAATATGCTCCGTGCGGTTTGCCGTGCTCGAACCGCCATCCCGTTCAGCCTTACAAGAGCATTAAAGGAGGTACAAGCCCGAAGTTGCCCACCCCTCCGTTGGAACAGCATTGCCTCAATCACGTTGCACCCGGATCCGCGCCGAAAACGGGACGACCCGTGGTCGCGCCAGTTACGCGCGCCCGATCCACGCTGCACCAGCTTGACACTGCGGCACAGCAGGCCAGACCAGGCCGCGTCGGGGCGAGATCGGAAGCCTCCCGGGCCATCTTAAGCCCGCAGACGCTCGAGAAAGGGAGGGCACGGAGATCATGAAGCATAGGAGTCCACAATGCTTGCTTCCTGGGGGCCTCTCAAGGATCATCTTCAAACCTCCTGGGCGAGCCGTGCGAGCATTCTTGGGCCGTCTTGGATGCGTTCGAGCTGTCCGTGGGCGCTTTGGGGGAACCTCTCTGGGCCTCCTTCCGTCCTCCGGCCTCCCCCCCCTTGGGGCCTGGGGGCCACCCCCCGAGCGGCCGCAAGGAGGGCCCGAGGTGGCTCCCGAGGCCCGGGGGACGTCGAGGGAGGTCCTGGGGTGCCCCCCGGGGGTGCACTCTTCGGGGGCGCGCAAATATGGACTAACGATCCACGAATTTGGCGCGCGGTCGCCAAATCCATGGATCGGGGGAGGTGCCCTCCCCAGAATGCGGCCGGTGCGGCCTCGTTCGGCGGAGGAAGTCCGCGATTTCCAGAATGGAGACGGGGCCCGTCGCCAATCCACGCCCCCATTGATCCATGTTTTCGATCGCCTGAACTTTGCCGCACCCCCCCCTCCTTGGAATGGCTCGGGCGATCCTGGGGCCAGGTTGCGTATGCAGCAGGAGCTCGACCACAAGAGACCTTCCACGAGAAGCCCAACCCTGAGACCCCAGGATACCCCCGTCTTGATCTCCGCTCTGGTCAACTTGTGAAGAGCGTTTGCCGTGACGCCGTCGGCTTTGCTTGGATGGCGCGGTGCATCCATCTATCTACGTATACCCCCCCGGGCGCCATCGCACCGATGCGTCTGCGCAATTTCTGTCTATCTATCTGCCCTCCCCCCCCGGGCGCCGTCGCACCCTCAGCTTGGCTCGGCTGGCGGCGTCCATTTATTCCCCAATCAGTGCTTGCACTGAAGGGGTCCTCGCGGAAGTTGAAGAATTTGGCGAAAGTGTCCCGCCGATCGCACGCTGGGTTCCCGGGTTCCCAGGTTCCCGGTTCTGGGTTGCGGGCCGATTTCGGAAGGCGGCGAGGTTCCCAGGTTCCCAGGTTCCTGGTCGATCTTCTTATCGATCGGTCTTGCCATCGATCTCATTACCCACTTCTCTATCGATCTCACCATCGATCTCAAGATCCACAGTATTAATTTCCAAATCATCCACTGATTGGGTTTTCTCAGGTGTAAGCTATATATCTGTGCCACGCCTAAACGCCATCGCACGGGCGTCATGAGAAAAACAATTGTAAACTTAGGATTATGGGAGCCAATTGAAGGTCATTCAGCTTCACAACAAACAACGGGTGATATAATAAATAACGGGTGACACCTGTCACCCCCGAAATTGCTTGAGAAAAACCAATTGTAAATTCGAGATTCTGGAAGCCAACATAAGGCCGTTCAACTACGGTCACACGTGTCACCCCCCAAACCGTGTGAGAAAAAACAGGTGTAAATGTGGGATTCTGGGAGCCAACAGAAGGCCATTCAGCCGTACACAAAAAACGGGCGACACGCGCCACCCCCGAAACTGCGTAAGAAAAAACAATTTGGGACTCCCGGACTCCGGGAGCCAACAGAAGGCCATGCAGCTTCACAACAAACAACGGGTGACACGTGTCACCCCCGAACCCGCGTGAGGAAAACCAATTGCACATTGGGCATTCTGGGAGCCAACATAAGGCCATTCAGCTTCACAAAAAATAGCGTGCCACCCCCGAAGCCGCGTGAGAAAAAAAGCATGGTAAATCTGGGATCCTGGGAGCCGAAACATAAGGCCATTTGGCCACACAAAAGCAGCGGGCGACACGCGCCACCCCCGCAAACAGCGTGAGAAAAGCGGTCACACCGCTGGAAGCCCACCCTCCAACAGGGCTCTCGGACCCCCCAGAGGCCCCACAAAGAGGCCCCAAGACATCCTCCTCCTCCTCCTCCTCTTGCTTCCTCCTCCTCCTCCTCCTCCTCCTCCTCTTGCCTCCTCCTCCTCCTCCTCCTCCTCCTCCTCCTCCTCCTCCTCCTCTTGCCTCCTCCTCCTCCTCCTCGATCCCCCCGACTTTCCCCAGGGCGTCTGGAACACGACCCAGGCGCAGTGGCGGGATGGGCCGAGGACCATCAGATTGCCGCCCTGGCATCACATCGCCACCGCCCCTTGAACCCGTCCACCTTCCACCGTTTACGCCCACAAGCTGTTCACTCCTCAGGGTCGGTGGATTGAATCATGAGATAGTCGCGTGCGACAGGAGGGTGCATTGTGATGCGTGCTGGGTTTGCACTGGCCTTCCTCCTCCTCCTCCTTCTCCTCCTCCCCCTCCTCCTTCCAGACCCTCCTCTCGCCATCGCTTGGACGTCCGTTCCCTGTGCATTTCTCGATGTCCTGCGTGTTTCCCTTGCTCGGTGATGTAGGGATGCTCCTCGATGGTCCTCGCCGAGAAAACGATGCACACGCCCGAGCGATGCCGAGTCCGCCTGGGCCCCGTGATCCTCCCGACTGGCTTGTCTTGCGCTTCCCCCCCCCCCCTCTGGGGACCCACGGACCACGGCCCCAACGAACCGTCGGACCCCTCGAGGGCCGGGGGAGGCGCGCGCCTCTCGCGCAGCCTCGCCAGCCAGCCGTCGTGGGCGGAGCTCACACCCTCTCCGCCCCAGACCTGCGGCACGGCCGCCGACGGGGGAGGGGCGAGGGGCGAAGGCGAGAAGAGGCGGGAGGGCGGGAGGGCGGGAGGAAGGAGGGATCGGGAGAATGCGGGAGAAGGGAGGACCGACATGGGGAGGGGAAGGGAGATGGGAGGTGCGAGGGAAGAGGAAGGGGGCAGGAGAGGACGAGGAAAGGCGCTGCCGGAACGAGGAAAGAACGAGGAGGAAAGAAGGAGGAGGAGGAAAAAGGAGAGCAGCGGAACACGGCACGGCAACGACACGGCACGGCCAGTGCATCGCCGACAGACTTGCGATCGCAGAGCGGCCAACGAGCACCCCGGGGCTCCGCGAGGCGTGCAATCCCTCCGTGGGCGAGCAGACGACGCACCGGCGATCGACACCTCCCGCCCGCCCAGTCCAAAAGCCGCCGCTCCTCGCCTGCACCGACCCCCCCCCCCCAACGCCGCCACAGCCTCCCCCCCCCGCATGTCCCTCGCCTCGCTCAGGATCCCCCCCCCGGCCCCGACCCGATCCCCCCCCCCGGATCCGATGCCCCTGCCCAGGATCTCCCCGTGCCCCCCTGGCCCCACTCGCACATGCCTCCAGTCCCCCTGCCCGATCCCCGCGCCGACGTCTCCAATGTCCCTGCTGCACGTCGAGCGCGATCGCGAGCACAGTCGAGCCGTATGAGAAGGATGTGCTGTAAGGATGCGAGGGCCTAGGAGGGCCATGTTAACGTTTTCGAACGGGGTTGGCCAGTGAAAGTCGCTAAGGATGGGCCCAAAGGCAAGGATGCAAGGGTGCCCTTGGGAAGGTTGCCCATCCTTACTATGCGGGTTGACTGTAAAGAGCAGCTTGTCACTCGAGGGCAGATTGCTGATCGGAGGGATGCGTGGAGAAGAAGGGCGCAGGAGAGAGGAGCGAATGGGCGCATGGGCAGGAGGCCGCTTGGGGAGAACCGGCGAGGAGACTTCGATGGGCGAGGGAATTCAAAGGCGCGGACGTGGTGCCGCGTGGTGGTAGTCGAGGTGGAAGTGGTGGAGGTGGTCGACGTAGAGGTCGTAGTCGTGGTCGTTGTAACCGTTGTCGAAGTGGTCGTCCTAGATGCTGGATATGGCCACGGGTGCGCGAATTGCACGCAAACCTCATCCTTCTCGTCCTTACCTCCTCCATTCATCATGCGTCCTGGTAGATGCACAATTGTCTGCATCTGGCCTGTGAGAAACACAAGCATGTGTGAACGTCTATACGCGTCTATATGTTTATACACGTACAGCTATGATGGTACTTCCGTGTGCACAGGCACTGAAAGGCACACGCATGAATCTCTACATAGGCACAAAAGTGTGTGCACGTGCTGCGCAGGCCTGCGTGCGAACGTACCTGTTCATGTTATGTCGTAAGGTGTACACATATATATAGATATATGTATATATATGTACCTATTTATTTACATATCTACATGCACATACGAGGATCTAACTGCATGCATGTGTGTATGGATGTATGTGAATGTGGTTTGGAAGAGTGTACGTACGTATCCATGCGTACACATAACGAATGTGTGCTACTGCGCGCCCGCAACTGTGCAAGCGTGCGCGAACACACCTAGATGCATGACAATGCAATGTGTATGTGTATGACGATGTGTGCATGATCGAATGTCGTTCCATCTCGTGTACACGTATGGGGAGTGCATACGTACATGTACGCATCCCTGGGAACTCACATGCGCATGCACGTGCGTTTGAGTAACTGTATGCGCACACGTACACGTGTGTACGAATGCGCATGTGTGGATAATCCATACTTTGGTGCTAGCGTCATTCATACACGTGTGCATGCGAGTGTGCAAACTCTGAACAACACACACGTGCGGGTACTCATATGCGCGTATAACAACGCACGTGTACCTGTATGGATATGTTTGCACAATGCCATACCCGTGCCAAATTGTGCGAGTGCGTTTGTGTTGTATTACGCATGCACGTACATGTGCAGACGTATAGCACTGTGTACGCGCATATGCCTGTGTACACACAGTTTGATACGCACACATGGAAGGGGTCACGTATGCGCGCATGCGGGTGCCGATGATTCTAGAGATATGCCTGCACACAACCCATGTCCCTTCGTACGAACATCAACGCCACTAGCTATACGCACGGTCATGTGCACGTGACGGTGCGTGTCTACGTATACGTATGCGTAGATGTGTGCGCAGGTGTGCACGTGCATGCCAGGAGCACACAAGTGTGTCTAGATGGTTTCACGCATAACATCAAGAATATGCACATGGCAGTGTAGTGTACATGTGTATGTACGCGGATATGCGGCCATGCATGGAACTGCTAATATGCGCACGTGCAGATGTACGTGCAATTTGTATGTGTAAGCATCGTTGCACGGAACGTATTCATGGACATGGTGGTACGATTAACACATGCGCAGATGTGAACTACGCACTGCCAACCACACACTAAAATTACGAACGAGTTACCTAACATTAGAAACTGGTGTGTGCACATGTGGTGTTACCACTTGATCGCACGCACACCACGTACAATGATGTACAGCTGGTGTGACACGCAATTCGCGGTTCAGGTTGAATTTAAAACCGTACGCACTTACACACATGTACATCTAAATGCAAAAACACATGTGCCACTCTATACCGTACGATTGCGGCATTCCAGCCCCCTTTACCTTACCCCACGAGGGCAACAATACAATGGGAGTACGGGACGGGAGGGAGAAGAGGGATATGGAGAAGATGGAGAAGGCGGGGATGCAGAGGAGGGGAAGAGAGAGGAGAGGGATACGGAGGAGGGGGAGAGGGAGATAAGGGAGCGGGAGGGGAAGGGGCATGGAAGAACGAGGAGAGGGAAAAGGAGGAGGAAGGGAAGGAGGAAAGGGAGGAGGGGAGCTGGAAAGGAGGACGAGTATCAACAACATAGTCATAATCATGAAGATCAGCAACAGCAGGAGTAGATGCGAGCCGGATTGCCAGCATCCATGCACGCACCCAGTCTCCTGGTTGTCGAAGTCTTGGTAGTGCTGGTCGAGGTTCTGGTAGTGGTGGTCCTGGTTATGGTGGTAGTGCTGGTCTTGGTGGTCGAGGTCTTGGTCGTCGAGGTCGTCGTCTTAGTGATCTTGGTGGTCGAGGTCGAAGTCAAGGTCGAAGTCGTGTTCTTGTGTGCCTTCGACGTCGTCGCGCTGCCTCTCTTGTGCACGGTATCCCTGGCGAGTTTTCAAAGAAGAAGAGACGAGTGCAGCGGTGAGGGCGGATGGGCGGATACGGCTGGCAAAACTGGAGCGACTATTACAACGTTGGAAGGAAAACTTGGCACAAAAGGACGACCAAGAGGGAAACAACGGACAACGTAGGAAGATTCTGGAATGCATAAAGACAAAAAAACACGGGCAAAGATGAGCCCGACAAGCCTGACAAAAGACGGAGGGCACACGATGGAACGGGCAAGAGCGAAGGCAATGATTGAGATAAGACAGAAACTCAGGAAAAACGCAATGACGCCGAACATCGCTTCAATGATGGTGTCGATGGATATGTCGCATCTGACCGTCCAACACGATAAACTCCTCTAATGTGGGATGACGATTAAGAAAAAAAGGAGGGGGGAACGATTAAAAAAATAGTTTCACACACCGGGGGGGGAACGCTCAGAAGCAGGGCTCGCCTGTGCGGTCGTCACAGAAGGCCTGCCTCTGCGACGACCACACAAGCAGGTCTCCCCGTGTCGAGGCTCAAAAAAAAGGCCCGCCTGCGACGACCACACAGGCAGCGCTTCCCTGTGACGAGGCACAAGGAAAGCACCCGCCTGTGACGACCACGCAGGCAGCGTTCCCTTGTGACAAGGCAAAAGGGGAGGGCCCGCTTCTGTGACGACCACACAGGCAGCGTCCCCTTGTGTGGAATCTGAATGAGAGGGCCCGCCTTTGTGACGACCATACAAGCAGGGCTCCCCTGTGCCGAGGCTCAAAGACAGGGCCCGTCTGCGATGACCACACAGCGAGCGCTCCCCTGTGACGAAGCGCAAGGAAAGCGCCCGCCTGTGACGACCACACAGGCAGCGCTCCCCTGTGACGAGGCGCAAGGAAAGCGCACGCCTGTGACGACCACGCAGGCAGCGCTCCCCTTTGACGAGGGTCAAAGAAAGCGCCCGCCTGTGACGACCACACAGGCAGAGCTACCCTGTGACGAAGCTCAGGGAAACTTCCACCGCGGGGGGGGCGCGCGCCCGAGGACGGCGGGGGGGGGGGACGATTAAAAAATAGTTTCCCAGCCCGGGGCCGTTTTCTAATCATCATCCCGGGCGCCGCCGCGTGAACACGACCCCCCGTCATTTTTTTATCATCATCCTCCATTACGTCTCGGCTACCTCCGCCTTCGAATATGCAGCTGTCTTCAAGGGTCGCTCGACACTCTGTCGAAGTGGTCATGATTAACAGCTTGGCCATTCCTCCTCCTCCTCCCTCCCCCTCCCCTCCCTTCTCCCTCCCCCTCCCCCCTCCCTCCTCCCTCCCCCACCCTCCCCCTCCCTCCTCTTTCCCCGCTCCCCTCACTTCGTCCATCTCGCTCTCCCTCTCCTCCTCTCTCTCTCTTAATTTTTGTGTGCTCTCTCTCTCTCTCTCTCATTTCTCTCCCCCCCTCTCGCGTTCCCCCCCTCTCTCCCCGTCTCCCCCCCTCCCCTTCCTCCGCGCGGCCAGGTGGAACTATGAGAAGTCCGCGACCGCCCTCCACGGCGCCGCGGCCGCGATGAAAACAACCAGGGCCAACCCGACGGACGAGCGGGGCTCTCCCCAGGCCGGAGCACTCCGGTCGGGCGAAGGCCAAACCCCCGCTCAGCTCACCACCCCCGGGGGGGCCGCAGGGATCCCCGCCACCGGGCCCCTCCCAGCCCGGCGACCCGAGGCCCAAGGCCCAGGGGGGGCCACGGGGGCCACGATGCTGCGATGGGCCTCGCGGTGCATGGGACATCCAAGGACCGATCATGGGACGCACAGAGACACACGAATATAGTAGAAGTATGTTGTGGTGACGCCGAGATCAGGACGATGCTTAAAACGACTTAAAACGAACCCGAGCGTTTACAACGGAACGCTCAAAACGATACGGGCACAAACGATAACGAAGACGAAACGATGCCGCCATTCAGCGAGACAGCAAAACGAAAAACGGAACGGACTCCGCAGACCTCGTGGGAAACAAAACGAGGGCCAAAACCTGACCAAACATCGCTGTGGTCGGCCCCTGGGGACGTCCCTCCCGGCAACTTTGAAGGACGGGGAGGCCCCACTCGGCCCGGGGGGGCCCTCGACAGCGTCCATGACGACCCTCCCAACCACCAGGCTGCCAAGACGGTGATGGCCACGACGCGAACGACGACAGTCAGTCCGCCTCCACGCCGAGGCAGGCACACGACGGCAAAAACCCAAGAGGTGGAGGTCCACCAGGACTCCCCATCGCAGGCGGTCCTCTGCGATAGTGGATGCCATGACAGTGGACACCCTGACAATCCGATCGATTAACTAAAAATGTGTTCAAATGTAGGAAAAATGATCCAAGCATGTTTGAAGCATGCTCGTTACATGTTTATAACACATGTTGTAAACATGTTTTAGCCATCTGGACATTATTGGGCAACATGCTGCCTCTCCATTGATCGTCGTCCACAACACTGCGACCCACGCAGCAGAACACTGGAATCAACCACACAGGGAGCAGCACACGGACCTTACCTTACCGTTCCCCCCGACGCAGACAGCCACTCCCCAGGAGCACCTCTGCGCCAGCAGCGCCGTCCGCCTGGGAGGGGCCCCCAGGAGACAAAAACGACAGATTTCCCCCAGGCTTGGGAAGTCTTCAGCCTCCTCGCCTCTTCGGCTGCCCGACGCTCCCGGAGGGCCCGGGAGGCCTCCCACAGCCGCCCCGACACAGCCCGAGAGGCTCCTTCAGATGGCCCCACGACGGATCACCGCGTGGGCGGCGACGGGTCGCGGACTGCGCCCGCTGGGACAGCGCCGTCGCCCCAGCCCGCTGGGCTGGCCGGCGCTGCGGCACGCCCAGCCCCTTTTACCTCGGCGGCAGACAGAGCTCCCTCGCGTAAGCCACCCTGCAGTAAAAACGGCCTACGAGCCTCGTCAAAAATATCCAGAAATTGAAGTTGAAATCCTGGAGCACGATGCTTTCGGGCACTTGTCAGAAAACGCGTTCTTCAATGCTGAGAGGGTGGGGTCGGTTTTTGGACAACGCCGCGTCCGAGTCAACAGACATCCATCAGCGTTGGAGTAGCGCTGACCCCTCAATCACCGAATTCAGAAGTCTTCTGTTTATTCCCTACCTAGGCTCTGCCTAGAGGGTTCTTACTCTCTTAGCTTAAAGGGGCCGGGCAGTGTAAAGCGCCCCGGGCGGTTCCCCCAGTCTCCGCCCCGCGGTTCCCCCAGTTGCGCCCCCTGGGTTCCCCTAGCTGAGCTTAGCTTAGCATAGCTTAGCTTAGCTCAGCTAAGCTTAGCTTAGCATAGCTTAGCTTAGCTTTGCCTAACCTAGCTTTGCTTAGCTTAGCTTAGATTATATCATATTAGCTTAGCTTAGTTTAGCTTAGCTTGGCTTAGCTTAGCTTAGCCTAGCCTATATTGGCTTAGCTTAGCTTAGCTTAGCATAGCTTACCTTAGCTTAGCGCAGCACAGCGCAGCATTAGCACATCATATCATAGCATAGCATAGCCAAGCATAGCATAGCATAGCTCAGCATAGCACAGCATCGCATAGTATAGCATAGCATATCATAGTATCGCATTGCTTAGCATAGCACAGCGCAGCACAGCATAGCACAGCATAGCACACCATAGCATAGCCTAGCATGGCGCAGCATAGCACAGCATAGCATGGCATAGCAAAGCATAACGCATCATATCATAGCATGTCATAGCCTAGCATAGCATAGCGCAGCATAGCTTAGCATAGTATAGCGTAGCACCGCATAGCATAGCATAGCATAACATAGCGCAGCACATCATATCATAGCATAGCCTAGCATAACAGCGCCGCCGAGCGTACCCTAGCATAGCATAGCATAGCATAGCGCAGCATCGCGCAACATAACAACGCATAGCATAGCATAGCATAGCGCAGCATAGCATAGCATAGCAACACAGCAAAGGCAAAGCAACAGCAGCAACAGCAGAACAACTGCAGCTGTCGGTGTAGATGTAGATGTTGCTTTCCTAAATGCTCCAATTCCTAGGTAGGGCTACACTGGGATAATGTTTGACGAGGCTTGTAGGACCGAAACCGACGGACCTGGACCCGCAAAAACGACGGCCGCGACGCCCTCTCGCGAACCGAAAACGGCCAATTCGCTAGTCGACGTGTCAGGGTAGGAGGTCCATCAACCTCCGACTAACGCAGCGCTTCCTGCCACCAGGCACATCCCCCGCCCCCCAACGAAAGGGAGCGAGGATCAGTGGCCCTGGTAACACCCACCAGGATGCAGGCAACCGCTCGACCCCAGTTCTACGATGTTCCAACCTACTTTAGCCTCGATCACCAGAAATCATTTCGAGCACCAGGAAAATACTGGAGCTGGAGGGTTTTCATGTGTCGGACCCTGGGAGGCGATAATCGTTCGACACTGTTTCGATACTGTTCTGGGTGCTCGAAATTACTTCTGGGATGTGGTCCACAAGTAAAATGGGAGCAACATAACCCCAGTGCAGCGCACGGACCGAAGGAATGCCCTCGCGCAGCGCCTCGCTGCGGCCAGGCCACGGCCATCGCAGGATCGCGCGACGCCGCGCTCGCCGCAAGTGCCTCGGCGCTTCGGCAACGTGCCTCCAGCCTCTCCCCCACGCGGAATAGCATCCACGGAGCTGCCCTGAGGAGGAGGAGGAGGAGGAGGAGGAGGAGGAGGAGGCGGAGGAGGAGGGGAGGAGGAGGAGGAGGAGGAGGAGGAGGAGGAGGAGGAGGAGGAGGAGGAGGAGGAGGAGGAGGAGGAGGAGGAGGAGGAGGGCGCAGTCCGCCTGCAGCGACCTCCAAACAGGCCCTCCGCGCGCCTGCCCTCCCTGGAAGGGCCGCTCTCCGGGAGCGCATCCCGGGCGCGGCTTTGGCCGCCTCCTGCCTCTCACACCTTCGCGCCCTGCGAGAGCGCCCGGCAGCAAGCTGCGCCGTCCTGGCGCTGGGCCGCCGAGGGGGTCGCCCCGAAGGGCGGCGCCCTCTCTTCCCAGGGCGCCGAGGCGCGCACGCGCGGAGCCTCTTTTCGGTTTCGGGAGAGCGGGCGGTTATGCTGATCCCATCGTACTTGTGGGCCGCATCCCAGAAATAATTTCGAGCGCCCCGAAAAGTATCGAAACAGTGTCGAACAAGTATCGCCTCCCAGGGCCTGACACGTGGAAACCCTCAAATTTCTGTATTTTCTTGGTGCTCGAAATTCTTTCTGGTGATCAAGGCTAGAATAGGTTGGAACATCATAAGCAGACGGGCACATCCTGGTCGCCACAACCCGCCAGCCTCTCCAGTCGGGGCGCACTTTGCGACCGCACCAGGGGGGAGGTCTTCGCCACCCCTGCCATGTACAAGCAGCCCTCCTGCCACAAGAGGTGCGGGCATGAGGAGTTTGCACCCTCCGCCCGCAGACGAACACCTCGTCCGAACTGTTGCGCTCTCCCCCATCGCTCTCTCTCTCTCTCTCTCTCTCTTCCTTTCTTCTTGTTCTCTCTCTCTCTCTCTCCCTCTCTCTCTCTCTCTCTCCCTCTCTCCGCCATCGGGCGCGTGTGCTCCCGCGGCGCCGCCTTCCCCCCCCACCCAGGCCGGCGGGGCCAGGTCTCTGCCCCTCTCTCCGTCCCCACTTCCTCAACAAAAAACCCGTGCACGGGTGGCCGCAACCACGGCAACATGGACGCCACTGGCCCAGCAAGCAAGTTGATTGACTCTGCCAAGGCGCCCCTGAAGTTTATTCCGCCAACGCCCCTGACAAGACGCCCGCTGTCCTCCAGTGGGCGTGCCCAGAGGTGAGAGGGATTACAGATCGAGCTGGGCTGAGTCCGCGCTATCAGCAGTAGGCCTCTCGCCTTCAGTGCCACACTGCTGCCCGCATTGTCCTCCGAAACCCCGCGCCTCGACGTGTTCGCAACCGACACGGACTCGGACTCGTTCCCGTGGGGGCTGTGGGAACCCTTGACGCTGTGCTCCTGGGATTGAGGAGCTTGGGGGCCGCGGGAGAGATCGTGCAAGCAGAACCGCCTCATTCACGCAGCACCACCGACGTCTTTCTGCAATTTATCGGCGTGGCGGAAACGCAGGCTACGAGACGCCAAGCTCTGGCCACCTCTCGTCCACCCACACGTCTGTCCTCAACGCACACCTCCGCTCTTCTGTTAGAATGTCGCATCGCTCGTTCTTCGAGATCCACCACCGTGCCTTAGCATGTACACATCGGTCGGAGGAGGTAGGTAAGAACATGAAGCATGAAGGCGGATAAAGTATATTGGGTTCAGGCCCTCCCAGAGACTAACGACACACAGCCACAGTATATCGATTCCTGAAGCAAGAAGGCGCTTGAATTAGACTGGGACCTTGGAATCCAATCATGAAGTTGTGGGTACCGCAGTTGTGAGCCCCGCCTTCGGTGGAGCTCTCTGTGGGGCCACGAAACGCGTGAGGGGTGCGCCGAAATGGGTGTTATGGCGCCACGCGGGCCCTGCCAGTGGGGCCTTCGATAGAGCTCCCTGTGGGGCCACGAGACATGTGAGGGGTGCGCCGAAATGGGGCGGGGCTGCCATGCGAACTTTGCCACTGGGGCTTTCGGTGGAGCTCCCCATGGGGCCACGAAACGTGTGAGGAGTGCGCCGAAATGGGGCGATGCCGCCATGCGAACTGTGCCACTGGGGCCTTCGGTGGAGCTCCCTATGGGGCCGCGAAGCGTGCGAGGGTGCGCCGAAATGTGGCGGGGCCACCATGCGAACTTTGCCACGGGGGCCTTCGGTGAGGTTCCCTATGGGGCCGCGAAGCGTGTGAAGGGTGCGCCGAAATGGGGCGGGGCCACCATGCGAACTTTGCCACGGGGGCCTTCGGTGAGGCTCCCTATGGGGTCACGAAACGTGTGAGGGGTGCGCCGAAATGGGGCGGGGCCGCCATGCGAAGTTTGCCACTGTGGCTTTCGGTGGGGCTCCCTATGGGGCCACGAAGCCTGTGAGGGGTGCGCCGAAATGGGGCGGGGTAGCCATTCGAACTTTGCCACTGGGGCCTTCGATGGGGCTCCCCATGGGGCCACGAAGCGTGTGAGGGGTGCGCAGAAATGGCCTGCGAACTTTGCCATTACAAGCCTCGCCAAAAATTATCTTGGCGAAAGACCCAACCATATGCAGTTGTGAATGCCGCAATTGTGAATACCATCTTCGCCCGCGCTCCCTATGTGGCCACGGCTTCCCGCCCGAGCTCGACATGCTCAGGGACACGTTCGTGGCCGTCTTCGCGGGCGCCGACGACGACAAGGACGGCGTCCCTCTCACCGCGGAGCAGAAGCAGGAGAGGGCCTCGACAGCCATGAGGGAGGAGGTGGCGTTGCACGTCGACAAGGCGGAGGACGACGCCCAGGCGCGGTTGTTGAAACAACAAAACTATGGGGCCACGATCCTCGTGAGGGATGTGCCGCAATGGCCCGGGACCGCCATGCGAACCCTGCCACTGGCGCCTTCGGTGGAGCTCCAGTGGGGCCACGATCCTCGTGAGGCGTGCGCCGAAATGGCCCGAGGCCGCCATGCGAACCCAGCCACTGGCGCCTTCGGTGGAGCTCCCTTTTGGGGCCACGATCCTCGTGAGGCGTGTGCCGAAATGGCCCGAGGCCACCATGCGAACCCTGCCACTGGCGCCTTCGGTGGAGCTCCCTATGGGGCCACGATCCTCGTGAGGGGTGTGCCGAAATGGCCCGAGGCCGCCATGCGAACCCTGCCACTGGAGCCTTCAGTGGAGCTCCCTATGGGGCCACGATCCTCGTGAGGGGTGTGCCGAAATGGCCCGAAGCCGCCATGCGAACCCTGCCACTGGGGGCCTTCGGTGGAGCTCCCTATGGGGCCACGATCCTCGTGAGGGGTGTGCCGAAATGGCCCGAGGCCACCATGCGAACCCTGCCACTGGGGGCCTTCGGTGGAGCTCCCTATGGGGCCACGATCCTCGTGAGGGGTGTGCCGAAATGGCCCGAGGCCGCCATGCGAACCCTGCCTCTGGGGCCTTCGGTGGAGCTCCCTATGTGGCCACGATCCTCGTAAGGGGTGTGCCGAACTGGCCCGAGGCCGCCATGCGAACCCTGCCACTGGCGCCTTCGGTGGAGCTCCCTATGGGGCCACGATCCTCGTGAGGGGTGTGCCGAAATGGCCCGAGGCCGCCATGCGAACCCTGCCACTGGCGCCTTCGGTGGAGCTCCCTATGGGGCCACGATCCTGGTGAGGGGTGTGCCGAAATGGCCCGAGGCCGCCATGCGAACCCTGCCTCTGGAGCCTTCGGTGGAGCTCCCTATGGGGCCACGATCCTCGTGAGGGGCGTGCCGAAATGGCCCGGGGCCGCCATGCGAACCCTGCCACTGGCGCCTTCGGTGGAGCTCCCTATGGGGCTACGAAACGTTGTGCTGGGTGGGTGAAACGCAGGGATGAGGGGGAGGGGGGAGGGTTGGGAATAAACAGAAACGCAGTTGGAAATCACGACGATCGATCTTCCCGGGCACTTGTTAGAAACTGCGTTCTTCAATGCTGCGGAGGGGTCGTCGGATTTTTGAAGCCCTTGCGTCCACGTCAGATATTAAGCGTCAGCATTGGAGGAGTGCTGACCATACAATCACCGAAAACATTAGCCTGGCGAAGGACCCAACCATATGCAGTTGTGAATGCCGCAATTGTGCTGGGTGGTGGCGGACGCATGCGGGCGGTGCCACTGGGACCTTCGGTGGAGCTCCCTATGGGGCCACGAAACGCTGTACTGGGTGGGTGAGACGCGGTCAGCAAGGGCTGTGCTGCGTGGTGGCGGACGCATGCGAGCGGTGCCACTGGGACCTTCGGTGGAGCTCCCTATGGGGCCACGAAACGCTGTACTGGGTGGGTGAAACGCAGGCAGGGAGCAAGGGCTGCGCAGGGTGGTGGCGGACGCATGCGGGCGGTGCCGCTGGGACCTTTGGTGGAGCTCCCTATAGGGCTACGAAGCGCTGTTCTGGGTGGGTGAAGCGCAGGGAACAAGGGCTGTGCTGGGTGGTGGCGGACGCAAGCGGGCAGTGCCACTGGGACCTTTGGTGGAGCCCCCTATGGGGCCACGAAACGTGCGAGGGGTGTGCCAGAATGGGGTGTGGAACCGCATGCCAGCGCAGCCACTGGGGCCTTCGGTGGAGCTCCCTATGGAGCCACGAAACGTGTGAGGGGTGTGCCGAAATGGGGGGTGGAACCGCATGCGAGCGCAGCCACTGCGGCGTTCGGTGGAGCTCCCTATGGGGCCACGAGACGTGTGAAGGGCGTGCCGAAAAAGGGGGCGGAACCGCATGCGAGCGCAGCCACTGGGGCCTTCGGTGGAGCTCTCTATGGGGCCACGAACCGTGTGAGGGGTGTGCCGAAATGGGGGGGGGAACCACATGCGAGCGCAGCCACTGGGGCGTTCGGTGGAGCTCCCCATGGAGCCACCCACGAAGCGTGTGAGGGGTGTGCCGAAATGGGGGGTGGAACCGCATGCGAGCGCAGCCACTGGGCCTTCGGTGGAGCTCCCTATGGGGCCACGAAACGTGTGAGGGGTGTGCCAGAATGGGGGGTGGAAATGCATGCGGGCGCAGCCACTGGGGCACTTCGGTGGAGCTCCCTATGGGGCCACGAAACGTGTGAGGGGTGTGCCAGAATGGGGGGTGGAACCGCATGCGGGCGCAGCCACTGGGGCCTTCGGTGGAGCTCCCTATGGGGCCACGAAACGTGTGAGGGGTGTGCCAGAATGGGGGTGGAACCGCATGCGGGCGCAGCCACTGGGGCCTTCGGTGGAGCTCCCTATGGGGCCACGAAACGTGTGAGGGGTGTGCCAGAATGGGGGGTGGAACCGCATGCGGGCGCAGCCACTGGGGCCTTCGGTGGAGCTCCCTATGGGGCCACGAAACGTGTGAGGGGTGTGCCAGAATGGGGGGTGGAACCGCATGCGGGCGCAGCCACTGGGGCCTTCGGTGGAGCTCCCTATGGGGCCACGAAACGTGTGAGGGGTGTGCCAGAATGGGGGGTGGAACCGCATGCGGGCGCAGCCACTGGGGCCTTCGGTGGAGCTCCCTATGGGGCCACGAAACGTGTGAGGGGTGTGCCAGAATGGGGGGTGGAACCGCATGCGGGCGCAGCCACTGGGGCCTTCGGTGGAGCTCCCTATGGGGCCACGAAACGTGTGAGGGGTGTGCCAGAATGGGGGGTGGAACCGCATGCGGGCGCAGCCACTGGGGCCTTCGGTGGAGCTCCCTATGGGGCCACGAAACGTGTGAGGGGTGTGCCAGAATGGGGGGTGGAACCGCATGCGGGCGCAGCCACTGGGGCCTTCGGTGGAGCTCCCTATGGGGCCACGAAACGTGTGAGGGGTGTGCCAGAATGGGGGGTGGAACCGCATGCGGGCGCAGCCACTGGGGCCTTCGGTGGAGCTCCCTATGGGGCCACGAAACGTGTGAGGGGTGTGCCAGAATGGGGGGTGGAACCGCATGCGGGCGCAGCCACTGGGGCCTTCGGTGGAGCTCCCTATGGGGCCACGAAACGTGTGAGGGGTGTGCCAGAATGGGTGTGGGAGGGGAGGAGGGGGAGGAAGGGGAGGAGGAGGAAGGAGGAGGAAGGAGGAACGCGGGGCGACGTCTCTTCAAAACGAGGACCCAACACCACAGGATGGTTGGGAATAATCCCTCAGTTTATTTTTGACGAGGGTTGTAGGGCCTTCGGTGGGGCTCCCTATGGTGCCACGAAGCGTGTGAGGGGTGCGCCGAAATGTGGCGGGGCCGCCATGCGAACTTTGCCACTGGGGCCTTCGGTGGGGGCTCCCTATGGGGTCACTAAACGTGTGAGGGGTGTGCCTGAATGGGGGGCGGGGCCGCCATGCGAACTTTGCCACTGTGGCCTTCGGTGGAGCTCCCCATGGGGCCACAAAACGTGTGAGAGAGGGTGCGCCGAAATCCGCCATGCGAACTCTGCCACTGGGGCCTTCGGTG